TCCTGTCCCTTCAATTACCTATGCATTTTTAAATACAGGCTCAGTAACTTGTCTTATGAAAATCTGCAGGCAAAGTATCTTTCCACTATTCCCCTTTTATGTAGCCACGAGTCACATTAGGGTTTTTGCCAGTAATACCACAAAGTTCATGCTGCAATGGAGAAACAGCATCTAAATCTCTTTCAGAGACTCCATTCAAGTACTGTCTTCACTGAGATAGTAAAGCCCCATGCAAGCTCTTTAAAACCCTCAATACATTTTGTCTGAAGGCAGCTCATTTATCAAATACCCCATATCGCTGACCTGTTTTTGTTATTTATCACTCTACTAATATTTGTTTTGGTGCAGGTTTTACTAGCGCTATCTTTTGTATTTCCAGAACACGCGTAAGAATGTTGAATAGTTCCTGGTGTAGAATTGTTTCCTGTAGCAACTCACTAGGAATTTACTGAGTCAGTGAAGATCGGTGTTAAAAGCTTCTTATTTGGCAATAAGTACTTTAACACATGCTTCTTGGTGCTTAGAAATGTTAACCACAGCCATTCAATTTACTATTGCACGGCACTGACAAAAAAGAAAATACACTACCTCTATGCAGTTCTATTAGCCAATGTCCCTCCCAAATTACCAATTTTCTCTGCAAATTTACATGCCATAAAACTATCCTCTAGTTGTTTCTGGTTTTGAGGATTTTACCTGGAGCTAATGTCATGCTAACTGCTCAGTAATGCCCCAAGTTGTCATGTCTACTTTTTTCATCATACCAGTGAAGAGACATACTCATTCCCTTGGAAAGGGTGGTCTGCAAAGCAGCTCCTGTTTGCTTTAGGAGTCAGTAAAAACAAGAGGTGAAGTATGTTTTATCTTAAGAACTAAGAATCATCACAAACTTGAAAATGCCTGCTCAGTAGGCTGCCCTTTTATGGATGGAAATGCCAAGATGTCAGTATTTTGTAGCCATTCTGATTAAACCTTTTATTTCATACATCCCTGTTTGTCTATTTCTGAAACAACTTGCTTGTGAAAATGGCTGCATTCTCACTCCTGCGCTAAAAATTTCATACTCTTAAAAAGCAGGACTTAATCACTGAAAAGTGCTACTTGCGAGCATGAAGCAATGGGTGTGCAGATGGGGGGACAATTTGGACTGCTTCAGATCCAACTGTTAGAACTTTTTGTTTCAATGGTACATTAAGTCCAGCTACTACACTAAAATCTTCACAGCTCACTTAATCATTGAATCCTAGCTCTGCAAAAGCCTTTGTCTGGATCTATGCCCACTGACAACATAGCCCCAAGCTCTAATACCCTCCTGCAATGTGCAGTCGTTGGGGCAGGGGAACAATCAGCTTTTAGAATCATTTGTTTCCAGAGCTTCTGAACTGGGATTCTGACTTTTCATAGCCATATACATATTGTGCTGCTGGACTCAAACTTTCCAAGTGTTTGCAGGATGCAAGCAGGTTATCCAGGTTTTAACAGAGCCTGTAGGAGCATGTACCAGCACTCCCTTCACCCTACTTTCCTCTCCTTAGCCTACAGCAGATGCAAGTAGGCAAATTTCTACTTTTACATGCAAGCTTGTGGCTTGCAAGTTTCTTCCAAATCTAGATGCCAGTCCCACTTTTCACTGTGACACGACTTAGACTGTCAAATCCTTAATCTGCAGACTTAGTTTGCGCTTAGAGGCAGTACAAAAGAAGCTTGGGCACCAAACAGGACAAAACACTGGCCTGCCTTCCTTCTCCTTGAAGGCCTGCGTGGGTTTCAGTCCAGGTCCAAACAGCCCCCACAGTTGTGAGGCGGGGAGTGGCTGAGGGCACCCTGGCTGTGGCAGGACCGTGGGAAGCTGCCAGAAACAGGCCGATAG